GATCTAATACTATATTTTTTTTTTTGTAGAATTGGAAGGTGGTATAGATTCAGAAGTAAGTGAGGATAATTCTGGGCCTGTCTGGGCTTAAATTAGTTTAGTATTTATTTAATTTAATATTAGTTACAAACTTGTTAGTCTAATAATAAATTATATATAGGGTTAGCAAAAGATAAAGATGATATAGGTTTGGAAGTAAGAGAAAATAGTAAAGGTTTAGTAAATTCAGATTTGGAACTAGCAGAAAGTAGATCTAGTGTGGTATCAGATTTTGGGTTAGATTCTATATATTCATTAAGTTTTAAAAAAAGTGAGAATATTATGTAACTTTTTTTAGTTCTAAATTATATTATTAGTAATAATTTGTTCAATCTAATGTAGCAATTAACTTTAACCTGTTTTTATTTAAAATTAGATAATATTATTGAGTTGTATATTGGTTTATAATTTGATTCTTGAAAAGCTGCTAAATATTATATAAAGGAGTATAGAAGAAAAAAGAGGTTTGTAGTTAAAAAATATCATGTTCAATTATCAGCTAACCAATTAGTAAAAAAAAGAATGAAAAGGCTAGAATATATAAACCTAATAAAGTAAAACTATCAAACCAATAATACAATAAAGATTCAAAGAAATCTAATTGTGAATAGTATATTAATTTAAGCAACATAAAAATAATGATAATATATATATGATTTTTGTAAAGCTTGTCTATAATTATAAATTAATTGTTAATAATTTAAAGTTTGCTACAACATTCTGAAAATTTGATCAAGCTATAATATTAGAAATTGAATATGCTATAATTTATAATCATTGTGATATATACACTATAAAGAACTTATTACAACTATTATTTTCTGATTAACTTTTTCTTATTCAAGATTTCTCAAATGCTATACAAAAAATAAAATGTGAAAAAAATATTGTTGGCTCAGACACTTCTCAATTGTTAAAGTATCTTCTTGAGAAACAAAAAAAAAGCTTATGATATTTATACAACCCTTATTAATATGGATAGTAATAGATTATATGGTATATTTTGGATAACAAGAAACCAAATTATGTTGTAGATCTGTTATTCAGATATCATTTTATATGATAATACCTCAAGAACTAATAAATATAACTATTCTTTATCATTATTTATACTTGTTGATAATGATAGAAAATTACGGTTAGAGGTACAAGCCTTTATAAATGATAAAATACAAGAAAGTTATAAGTAGATATTACAACAGATATTAGATACAACTGGTCTTGAACTACAAGTTAATTTAACAGATATGGATCTAGCTATAGATGCTGCTTGTCAAAATATATATAATAATGCTTATTATATATATTGTATTTGGTACTTATCTCAAAACTTACAAATGGCTTAAAAATAAACTTGGTTCTGCTGATTACAAAGTATTTATTAATGACTTTTTTTTATTTTTTTAGACAATCTGGTTTACTTTATTTGGAGAAAAACTAAATATTTTTACATAAGCAATATATCCATTATAGATACTATCTTAACTAAAGATAAACTTCATCCAGTTTTATATACACAGTTTATAGTAAACTATTAACTATTATGTTGTACTTAAATACAACCTGCTGTAGCTACATTTGACCTTCTTCAGAGATCTAAAGATTATATCAGACTTTTTTTCTCCAGAATTAACAGTTGGCGTATAGCTAGTCTCATCAGAATTTTCATCCTACAATAGAGTACTGCTAATCTGATGATACTTTCTTATAGAGAAGAAAAAAAAAATATAAAAAAAAAGGATATATAAAAACAGATATATATATAAAAACAGGTACTAATGTAAAAGGAGAATAAAAACAAAAGTAAAATCTAAGAAAAACTATTACCAGAGAGAAGAAAACCTGCTAATCAAGTGAAAACTTCTAATTATATAAAGTAATAAACTACTTATATTACATTGTTGTGAGAATTATAACATAAAAAAGAAAACAAATGCATTATAACTTGTACTCAAGACTAAAAATTATATACAAATGACTACAAGATATTTGTATATCTCATTATACTTTGCTTGACTCTTCTAGTTAAATCTATATCGTCATTCGAAAGTATAAGAACTTTAAACTCCACATGTCACTATTCAACAACTGCATATATTTGTATATTCTGAATAACCTAATACATAAGATATCTAATCAGAGTATTTGCTAGTTACTAATATTTGCTAGCACTATCTATTTTACATATGTTATTTCATTATTATATAGTTTCTCGATATAGAAGTAGTAAACAATATCGATCTTTTGGAGGGTATGCCAAATTTTTTACTTTTTGTTGAAAGTTATGGCCAAAACATCGAAGGAAAAAATATCATAAGTATTATGAGTTTCTAACCAAAAAATATTGCTCCAAGTATTCTTTATCACCTTTTATTTTTAAACAAACTTGAGCTTATTTTCTACTTGCTGTTTCCAGAGACTTCTCCAGTTTGAATGCCAAATATACAAGAAAGTCCACCAAAGCAAAGAGAAAAAGGCTTGACCCTTGTACAAACTGTTTAGAATACCCACTCCTTGGTGTATTACATTTAAAGACTTTGTTGACAATAGTTTGTATCAAGAAAACTTAAAGTTGATATTGACTTCTAGTCTTAAATTTTCAACTTGCTTTTGGTAGTTAGTTGGTACAAGTGATCATTGAAAAAGTATATAAATATTGTTTTGTTTATTAATAACTTTTAGAAAATGTACAATATATTATATGTTAATATTTTTAAACAAATTTTATTAGCTATATATCTTAATGCTAATGAATATTTGTATGATCTAATTTATACAACATGCTATTCTTGGGCATGTGCTTTTACAGGCCAAATATTTACAGTTGGTATATAGTTAATACAACATGTTGAGTTAATAAATACACTTATCCACAAAGCTGTTTCTGCTAGTTTTTCTATAGCTAATGTAGTAGAAATATTAGATTCTCGAATATAACAAGAAGCTATAAATAAGAGTTTTATAGCTTAAAAATACAAGTCAACAATATATCAATAACCATTTATTGTAGAAAACTTTTTTAATAAAATAAATAACTTAATAAAAAAATATTTTTCAATATGAATTATTGAAATGATCTATATACAAATATGTGAATCTGTACTATATAAATGTGAAAAGATACCTAATGAAAAAGCCTTTGAATTTATTAAAGATCAATTAGTAAGTTAATTATGATTTGGGTTTGGGTTCCATAGCTTATTGGTTAAGCTCCCAAACCCCACAGACAAGGTCAACAGTTTGAGTCAGGCTGGAGGCAAAAATAATTTGTTTCTGTAATCTACAGGGGCTATAATTGAATGTGAAACCTTGTAGAAAGTCCAAGTGCAGTACAAAACCAGAATAAGAAGTTCCTGAAAGGAGACCAGATTGTGGAGTGAAGGCATTATATGCCAGCAGTGTTACAGAAGGTCTAGGCAGTAGAAGATCGCACGTGTAAGTTTTCTGGTTGGGGTGACTCGGAGGCAATACCAATATCCTATTACCTCCATATTTGGCAACACCAACATCTCTATACCCAACTTGTGGGGTATTTGCTTAGAAGGATGATTAATGAATCGTGCACATAAGTCCTAATGTAGAATGGTGTTGGGTACTTGCTTGGAAGGGTGATACTATACTACCAAAACTGGAGTAGTGAAAGAAGCAGTGATATACAACTATAGGCTATAGTAAAGGATTATATCTTAACTGGAATTAGAAGCACCTCTGGTACCGGTGGAATGACTATAGAAGGCTACTCAGCATAGAGAATATAATCTACTCCTGTATATCTAAAGATACCAATTCGGGCT